CTACAAGATACAAGTCGATGTTTATTAGTTTGCTGCTCCACACAGTTCGTCCTCATGCTTGCCTTCATGCTTCTCCAGGTCACGATGACAATGTTCATTCCTATTGCTGGGATAGCGATGCTCTTTCTTTAAGCAATTTCAGCTTGGGATCAATGAAGTATTTCTGATTCTGATTTACACTCACGTACTTAGAAGTAACGATGAGCTTCTCTTTTCATATTTCCCCTGTTTCTGCCACACAGCTGGATAGATCAGATATCCTGATGCATACACTCACATCAGTGTTTTACTTCAGTGCCTTTTCAGTGGTCATGTCTCCTGCCTCATTCTTATCTACCCCAGCACCGAAAGCCAACCTGTTGAACTTCTAACTTTTTCAATCCTGTACAACAAAACCAAAAGCCCCACCTCAAGGTCTAGTTGTGCAGCTTGCTCATTATCATTACAAATGAGGTTGAGTCTGAGCATGTGACTGCACCGCTCAGCCTTATCTCCCCCTATATATGCATTTCCTTTCTCCTGTCCTGTCTCATACATTTGCAACTTCTGCCTTGTGCATCTGCCATAAATCCAAAGAATGGCATTGTGTCTTTTATTGCTGCCTCCTTAACCGTTGGAGGATGCACCAGTTAAAATTGGTCTGGTTAGTTCCACTAATCCTGTCACCTTCCTCACAACACTTTCTGGAGGAAGACATAGTTTCCATCACAGTTACAGCACTTGATATTCTCAGCCTGGCATGTGTTAAATTGTAGTTCCTGCCACATTTCCTGCATCTTCTATGTCCCCTACATGCTGCTGCTATACACAGCCAAAATGTGGCCACTTGCAACACTGGTTTCAGGTGAAAAGTCAAACAACCCAGACTAGCTGTTGTTGGCACTGTTTACTGTTTGAACCTTAACAATACAACAGTGTCACACCTGTCAAACCTCAGCCCTGGGTACAAATGCGTATGACCCCTTTAGCAGTTTCAACTTGGTCAAGCATGAAGCATTCGACAGACTTGTTGAGCAGATGATGAAATGACATGGTCTTCAATCTGTGGGTTTTGGATTTACAGAAGACAGGGATATTTCCATTCAGCAGGACTTACTTGTAACATGGATGTGACTGTTTTTGTATTGACTTGCCACAGAAGTATGTGCACCACCGTACATCAGGTTCATTAGAAGATAGTATAGATCACCACCCAAAGGGCTTTCCATTTGAAACAAAAGATTAACAATACAAATATATATGACTGAAAGAAATAAAGTGTTTCTGGGTTATTGCACATTCCTTGCAGTGGAACTATCAATGAGTGTGACTGCTTATTGTTTATTTGAGTTGTTTGAAGACGGTATGAGCTTCAAGGGGGTGTTTTTGGGCCTGTATTTTAAGTTTACAAACCGTGCTAACTATGCTAATGCTAGCGGCTAGCATGTTGCTAGTTAAAGCTGCTAAGGCTAGTTGTTGTGGAGCCTCATATGTGATGTATATTTACGTGTGTTTATTATGTATACACTGCGAAGCTATCATTGTTGCTTGATATACCTGTGATTAGGACAATGTAAAGACTGTTAACATTTTTATATGTAACATGTTGTACCTTTTTATTTGTGTTGCAGTTTTACAATAGGGACAAGATTCAGTAAACAGACTTCAACTTCAGTTGAGCCTGCTGGGTCTCTCCTTTTTCATTCGCTATCTGTCTGGAAATACAGGTGGTATTCTGCCAGGACAGAATACACGTCATGATAACCACAAAACAAAAGGCAAACTGAAGACATAAAAGTAAGGCATAGCATAGCATAGCATAGCATAGCATAGCATAACACTGCATAGTATAGCATAGCATAGCATAGCATAGCATAACACTGCATAGCATAGCATAGCATAGCATAGCAAAGTATAGTATAGTATGGTATAGAATAAAAAGAAAAAACAACATGAACATAAAAACTAGAGTTAAACATACTGGCAATAATACAATAAGAACACAAATAAAACAATAAAGTCAAAGTTAAAAAGAAGATTTAAAAAAAGAAAAAGTAAAACCACAAGCAATCAAAGCAACAAAAAAAACAACAACAAACAAAAAATAGGCAGTTAAAAAGAAAAAAGAATGGGCACAGTGAGGGCAACATCAAACTGGAAAAATCAAGGGAAGCAAGACAGTTTAACAGTTTGATTTTTATTAGACATTTTGCCTGTGATGGGACAGGATTTAATGTGGAAGATTATTCCAAGGCCTTGGTGCTATAAACAAAAAAGCCCGGTCACACTTTATTTTGAGCCATGGGGGACGTTGAAAAATAGTTGAGCTCGGAGCAGCAAATGGCGATAACAAATCAGCAATGTACCGTGCAGATAAACCTCCAAAAGCTTTGAAAACAAACAGAGTCTGAAAAACAGTTCTGTATTTCATTGGTAACCAGTGCAAATGAGTCAGAATTGGAGTCATGTGCTGTCTTTTTTTTGTTTGTTTGTTTGGGTGTTTTTTTAATTTTCTGGAACTTTGGAATCTGTCCCGCAGCTGCATTTTGAACTGGGTCATCCTTACATAAGTAACAGCAGTCCAAATGAGAGGTAACAAAAGCATGGTAGATTGGTATTTATATGTTGTAACACACGTACAA